TAATTTAATTTTTTTTGGTAGTAGATGCAAATAAGTCTGACCTTATAAAAACTATTGTTATTGGGTTCAGAAAATACCAGTTAAAAATCAGTTTACTCTCAAACTTTTAGATATACTTTTATTTATTTATAGTGCTGGGATTAAAGGCATGCACCACCACACCCGACCTAGAGATACCTTTTTATATTTTAAATAATGGTTGGATTTGTACAAATATTTTCAAACTTACTAGAAATAGAGTATATGGCATCAAATCAAATATAGACTTTTCTAAATTTATTCTTAAATAGTAGGTTCTTATATAAAGATGTATTCAAATTCTTCAGTATACTAGTCATAATAATTAGCAGTGCTAGAATTAACACACAAAATTCTCCAACAGACAACAGCATAAACATTAGAGCAGATTTCATTATGACTCAATTCAGTGTTTTATGACATATCAAAATTATTATTTTAGAGAAATAAATGAGACATAAATCACAGTATTCTGTTAATATCAAAGAAGTTATTAAAGACTTTTAAAAGAGGGATGAAATAGAAATCATAATATTCTTTTCATAATAAAAGAAAGTGGATAAAAGAAAGAACTAGTTCAGTTTCTTTTCCTGAACAGATTTTTATAATGAATTCAGGAAACCCTAAGGAGAGAAGAATCCCATTTGCCTAAAATGAGCTTCAAAAGATAGATTTTAGAAATTTTAATGGAAAGAGTTTTATACATGTTGAAAGAAAGATGTTTAAATACAGACAATGCTTTTCTTCTCTAGTCATTACTTAAACATGCAGATGAAAGGAGAATTGACTGCAGTTCAGAGTAAAATGTCTGCTAGGCTATTAATCCAACTCAATATGTACAAATACAATTTTCATTAATTAATTATTACTTTCGCCATAGAAAATATGTATCTCCTTAATAAGATAAGATTCTCATCAAAATTCTAGTTGAGTAACTTTAAAAATTATCTGTTTAATAGTTTTTTTTTTCTTATCACTTGCGATTTTTAAAGTTAAGCATTTTCTGATTTTTAAAAACCTTCCTTGAAGCTTTCTTATACAACAGAGTGCCATGAACGCCAAAGGCCACAACTTGCTAACTTTAAAAAATAAGACTGCAGAGTCCGTGTCCCTGGACAGGACTCCTTTATGTAATGTCTCCCGCTCAGTGGATGAATTTGCACTGGAGGATATCTGGGTACAAACGTTTGACTGGATAGGATTTAATATGTAAGGCAGAATACACGTGGTCTGGTGCCGCCCTGTGGGGGGTGGGAGACAGATGGGGGAGGGGATCTGAATTTGATTAAGAACTGTTGTATGAAATGTACAAAAGCTCAATTTAAAACAAACAACAACAACCTTCCTAACTAAATAGATGTTATCACGTCACGACAGATAATAAGGTCAGTTTCTTTTCATGTGTGTTCTAGTGAGGAGGGAGGTTAAGAATTTAAAACCTGTACCTAGACATCTGGTTTCTGATCCACTCCACAGACCAGAAGAAAGGCATTCCCTTACTGCAGAGCCCACAAGCATGAATCCAGAATCGCATGTGAAGATGGCTGTGGAGCCATAGGAAGTTTGAGTTCCAATCTTGTTTCCATTCGGAGGTGTAGGTAATTCTCCACAGGAAATGACTTTAAAAATAGTAAGTAGAAATGTTTGAAGAAACAGTTAATGTGCACTTGTTAAAAATAGCACGCATTTTATATTTTGAGTTTTCTATGATTTGATGTACTTAAAACTGAAAATGAAATTGTAAAATAAGTATGAATATGGAAGCATAGAAATAAAGACATGATACAATTTAAAAGTTATCTTTTATAATTACAGAGAATAATTCATTAGTGAAAAATCATTCTTCAACTTTAAAGATAGAGCATGTATGCATAAATTAGAAGCTCATATAAAATACAGTCTAGAAATCTATTTGCAATCCTTCAAAATTATCATCTTATAACAAGGCAACCAAAAAGCCCTATGCTGATATAAATGTCAAGAAGTAAGTTGTAAATCCCATAATATTTATAAGCAAAATTATATCAATGGATGCTTGGTAACTGTTAAACGTAAGATAGCTATTTAGTGCATTAAACTTTTAACCAATATAGTTTCATTGTAATCATTATTTCTTTGCTTATTTATTTATTTACAAATTATAAATACCTGTAGTACATATTACACTTATTTGGGATGCAAGTTAAGAGGCTGAGTTTTACTCTAACAAATTTTCTGGGACATTAAAATACAAGTATGTTGAAGGAATTTGAAATTAATATACCACATTTATTTAGGTGATTTATATTAGACCATGGGCATTTATAAGAATGGGTAACAATAAACAATTTTTCAATTTGATTAAGTAAGCCTTTTGACCTTCATGTGAATCTGGTTCTAGCTGACATTTCAAATATGTCACAGCATTAAATCATCACAACAACTTTCCAAAATCAGTATTATAATTTTCTTATTTAAGAACTTGAGGATCAGAGACTAAATATTACACAGCACAATGTTCGAAATTTAGATTGCTTGATCTAAGAACCAATTCTCTAATTACAGGCTCTGTTATTTGTGTAAAATGATTAAATCTATTACTCTGTTTCCTTTTTAAAAGAATGAGTTTAATACATGTAAACACCTAAAAGCACTGTCCAGGCAATAGTAAGTACACAATGAACATAACTATGCTGTTAAAGAAATAAGAAATCTATGGGGCTGGAGATATGGCTCAGCAGCTAAGAGCACTGACTGCTCTTGCAGAGGACCCGGGTTCGATTCCCAGCACCCACATGGAGGCTACGAACCATCCTTAACTCCAGTTGCAGGGGAATCCGAAGCTCTTCTGACCTCCGCAGCATTGCAGAACATGGGTGCACTCACTTACATGCAGGCAATACACTCATATATATGAAATAAAAATAATAAATAAAAGTAAATAAATAAATTTTTTAAAAAGAAATAATAAATCTAAATTTTGACCATAAGATTTCTTCATTCAAATACCATGGGCTATTTTTATAAATATTTTCTAATAAAACATAATTAATAAACTTTAACCAGCAATGAGGATCATTTTATGGCTGATATTATTTCACTAGACAAGATGGTTCATGCCTGAAATCCCAGGTTCTAGGGAGGCTAAAGCAGGAGAATTGCTTGAACCAAGGGTTTGAGGGTACCATGGAAAACATAGAGATGTCCTGCCTCAAGGCAATAGGTAAAAAGAGACAGAAAGAAAACAGTCTCATCATTGTTCTAGTGTGTTTTGAAAAGGAAGAGATTCAAGAAGTTCAATCACAAAGAGGGAATCTAAAATAAGGTCAGCATAGTATACACTTACTTTGGCAGTACGGCCTTTCATTTCTCCAACTCCAAGTACCATTTGGAAGGCATTCAATAGAAGCAGGACCTAGTCCATGATAACCAGGGTCACAGCTGAAAACTACCTTGGTTTTATATTCATAATGTGATCCATTCACAATTCTCCATCTCCCATGTTCCAAGGTAAAGGAATTGATGCTTGGACATGTAACAACTATACAAAAACAAATAAAAATGCTAACAATGCAATGATGTCAGTCCATCACTTAGCAATATTTAACATCTATTCACTCCCTTATAGGGTCACTGCCTTAATTCATTCACCATTGTGCTCTACAAAACAGCAATTTTTCTTAATTTCTTTTCCACAGCAATTATTTCCATTTTTCCAGCTCTCTGGTGCTGTTGGCAGTTCCTTGAACATAACAAGCTGTTTCACAATTCAGAGGCTATATTCACATTGTTCTATACACCTTCGATCTCAATTACTGCCTTTCCTCTCCTCCCTTATTGTTTAGATGTTTTTGAAGAACTACACTTTCAGGAAATTTGTCTGATCAGAATGACCTTTTCACACAAGAGCACTAATGTCAGTGTTGGTTTATTCAAAAGTTGTTAAAGATAAGTGGAAGCATTATTAGACACCTTGTTAAGACTGCAAATAATTTAACCATCTGCACTTTAAATGAAATCATGAGGTTCAAAGGTTCATAATAAATGGGAAAAAGTAATTGAAACTGAGAAAATTAAAGATATTTCACAAACCAGCTTTCTCCATTCATTTTGGTACCAATTTCCTTACCAAAATTATTTTAGTTATCATTCTGCAATATTACTTAATCTATTATGGTAGTAACAACAGCAACTGAAAGCATTATAAATATAAGTAACCTGAAATATGCTAACAAAAGTCAAAACTGTGGATAATCTCAGCATTATCATTTATTTTTATAAAAGTGAGAGCACAGTTTATTGAAATAGAACATTAAACAACCTGAAACCTGTAAAATGTTAAATGGCCTATATTAGAAAAGGCTAATTGACAAATGACATTTTTACAAAGTAATTAAAACTTTGTTACAAAGAAAAATCCCACTTCTGGATATACATATTTCAGAATTTTCAAAAATGAATCTAAATCAGATATCTATTTTCTAGTACATGAGTGTACAAAGCAACTTAACTTTTGTTTCCCAGGACACTTAATTTCAGAGATTAGTTTTAAGAAGTCAACAGTACTTAAATTTTCAAATTGTTTAAGATACCAATGTTATAACAATGATGAACTTTCCTTAAAACACATACCAACACAGCGAGGTGTCTTGTTATGATTGCTCCAAGTTCCATCTGATTGGCATATGGCCGTGGTAAGTTCCTTGGATGACAGTCTATATCCATCATTGCAAAAGTAAGTAACTCGAGTTCCTACCAAGTAGTCTGTTGTAAGGATCCCTCCATTTGTTGGAGCTTTAGGAATTCCACAGGAAATTGCTGAAAAGAATATATAAGCACAAAATCATGGAAAAAAATTTGAAAAGTCTTAGATAAATCTCTTAAACTGAAAATAATGCAGAATTATTTGGTATTCTTTCAAATTATTCCAAAATAATTTCAGAGTACCTCACAAAAGAACTCATTTGAACCACACATTTTTTAACAATTTACTTTGAATTCCTATTAAGAATTTAAATTGGTGAATCTATGTCTTTTCAATTCACTATGAGCTGTCAATTACATTATCAACCTTGTGTTTAATTATAAAATCTTCAAAATAATGTTGCAAATGTAAATGGTTTCACGACTCCTGTTAAATCAATGTGTATATTCCCAATTAGACATTTACTAAGAAGCCATTTTCCCCTGTACTCCCTGCAAATGTATTTATTGACAGAATAACGGGATCATTATATATAGTTAACTTGACACAAACTAGAATCACCAAAGGAGAAAGGCCTCAACTGAAGTATTGTTTCCATCAGATTGGCCTGTAGGCATGTTTTAACTTCACTTTAGATTTTAAATTTTAATTGACCTATTTTACATTTGGCTTTCTACAAGTTCTCTTCCAAAACTATATAATTGTTAAAACCCAAAATGTAATCCCTGAAACTCTTCTATGTTTGTTTAATGTGAGAGTTCAGCATTACTATACAGATTTTAACATTCTGGATTAAAAGAGCAAACATAAAATTAATCTTCAGGTTGACAAAACAATGTGGTGAATAAAATATCTCAAGATTTTCAGTGTAGTGACAGTAATTTCTCTTATGCAGTTAGTGTTAAATTTGGCTTCATGACTATACTATCTAGACCCAACCCAACTACCTGTTGTGTTGTTTTGTTTTTTGAGACTGGGTCTCACATGTAGCCCCAGCTGGCCTAGAATGCCCTATGTAGACCAGACTGGCCTGGATCTCAGTGATCCTATTGCCTCTACTTCCGGAATACTGGGATTAAAGGTGTGCCCCACCACTCTCAGATCAACTACCTTTAAACATGAAGTTCTATTCAAAAGACTATTTGCTGTTTGAGAAGTTGGTCATTTTGTTTGCTGTCACAAGGTCCAGTGCTTGATTTTGAAGACAATACGAGTGAGAATAATGAACATATTCATGCTGAGTTGGCAAATTCGTGAAGCCAAAAACAAGTATCTGCATAAATTATCTCTTGTGAGTTTGTTTTGTAAATGTACAAATTTGCACACTTCGAGCTAAATCTAGTCTTTAATGTTCATAATCATTCTTTCTCTTAATTAACTTTCTGCACACTAACCCAACTTCCCTCTCTGTTTCAATTTCCTTTTTACCCCAAAGCAACTGGTATGGTAAATTTGTGGGCAAAGTACACATTTAAGTGAAAACTTAGGAAAGTAGATTACATAGCAAAAAAAGAGATATGAAACTATGTGTCTTTCAATGAATTTGGTGCTTTTATGCTTCATTTCCAGGAGAGGCAACACAACACATACATGTATATTAATTTTTATTAATGGTTTTTACTATTTTAGAATAAGGTACTTCACCTTGGCAAGCAGGAACCGGTGCATCCCAGGAATGATAGCCATAGGAAGACCTCCTACACACTGCACTGCTTTTCCCAACAAGTCGGAATCCTCGATCACAGGCCCAACGGACCACACTGTTCAGCTGCCCCCCTGTCTGACTAATAATGTACCCGTGAGGTGGGGACTCTGGTGTACTGCAGTAGAAAGCTTTCCGAAAGAAAAATAATAACAGTTTAGTTACCAAATCAAGAATTTTTATCATACAAACTTGCCAACAACTATATAATTAATATGACTGACTACTAAAAACTAAGTTAGCTGTTGTCTCTGTGAATAGGTTTTATTTCATACGGCCACCATATTTTTATTCTAAGAATCATCAATTTATAAGGATTTTAGGACACATGACAAACTCTGGACTCTCTTCTAATTTTTATTGTCAATCTTACTGCTTTCTGCTTATAAATATTTTCCTGTCAAATGTGGCTGTTCAAAAGCTCTGCAATATTTTATGGAATTTAAGATACTGTATTTCTATTATGAGAAAGCCTTAGTGTCACAACTTGAGAGCAATATATTAGAGCATGTTGTTTGCACATCACATTGAAGTTATCTCTAGACACCTGTATCACGCAGAACATGAATTTCATTTTGGCTGATGTTAAAATGGGTCCTCCTATTTCATAATCCTCTTTGCTACTCTACTAAAGAGTTTTCTTTCTGTCAGGAGTAGTTATACAGGGTGATAAAAATTGACAATAAAATAAAACTTTCTCATCTTGAAGTCTGAAATGTCAAAAGATAATGTCAAGTAGTTTTTCAATGAAGATGCTTTGGAGACTATTCAATCTGAAACACTCCAGTTACCCTTCTTTGAAACGTCAATATTCATCTGAGAAAATGGAAATTTGGGTGTAAATAGCAAGAAACAGTTTGAACATAGACGATGTATGTCATAACCTGTCACTTCTAACAGGAAAAGTAGATATTTAACATGTCAAGCTGTTTTGATGTCTGAAGTGGTGTTTTCTTTGTTTTCTTCATATTTGCTTCAAATTTTGCCATGACTAAAGACTGACGTACAATATAGTCAATTTGATGCTTATGATTGTTTAATTTGGACAATTCTCCTTTAAGATATTACAACCACACAAATATAAATTAATATGCTGACTTTTTAACATCTTTAAAATTTATTTTTATCTTATGTGAGTGTGATGCCTGCATGTATGTAAATGAACCTATGTTCTGCAGTGCCCACCGAGGACAGAAGAGGATCCCTTGGAAATGGAAGTGCAAAAGGTTGATGGTCACCATGTGAGTGCTGGAATTTGAAATCATGTCATTTGCAAGAGCAGCCGGTAGTTTTAACCACTCAGTCATCTCTCCAGCCCCAATGTGCTGACTTTTTAATGCTGTATTTGAGCACAACATTAATAAAATTAAATTAATGTGTTTCATACAGTAGAAACACTGAGTAAATATTTTTAAAATCTTAAGGATATTTCAGGTATATATTTTAACTTTAAAATTATTCTTCCTTTGACTTAAAATTTATTATGCTACAGACTATATAAACATATTGGGAATTTTGCTGTTAATATATGAAACACAAATTACTAATTCATTAAAAGTATTCCTCATTTGGCTAAAGTCAAAGCATTTAGACAGAATTATTTTATCTGTACATTTATATATATATGGAAAATTATGTAAATGAGAGAGTATATATTTTAGAAGTGAAATTTATCATTTCTTTAGGGTTTAGAATTGTGTAAGAGTTATCTATAAAACATTGTAATTATTAGTGATTCATGATGACCATCATCTGATCATCTGGGGAAACAAAGTTTCAACAATAAAGAAAGATGTGAGTGATAGTTTCTGGAATGGTCTGTTAGGGAGCTCAGACCTGGAGTCTTTACTATTTAAAATATCAGTAAATCAAAGGAATAGAATCCTCCCATAATGGAGAGCTGGTTATATGTGCAACACACAACACAAAGTAATCACTGCCCTCAGGAAAAGAACACCTTGTTACAAACAGGAAAGCACATAAAAAGCTGTCATTTTGATATTAAAAAATATATTGAGTACATTTTTAAATTTTACTCAGTGAAAAGCAGTAATGATAAGTCATTTTTAATTATGGTTTTAAAATTTGTTCACCATTCTCATTCAGCAATTAATATTTTTAAAATATGGAGAATAATTAAAACCAAATATTTAGAACTGTTTTTACTTAAATTTGGCATTTAAAGAAATTGTTTTAAAACAATCAGATAATACACAGTTGGACAATACTACTAATATTTTCTGAGATTTGAAGGGGGAAAATCTATTGAAAAATAGAATTCAAACTTAAGGTTTAATTTATAACTCTAATCTTAGTCATAGACATGCTAATGTTTTATTGTAATAGATAATCAATGATAGAAGGGAGGAAGAAATATCATTACTGAATGAAATTTGAGGGACAGAGACATTAAGACATTCCTAAGATGTTCAGGAAACACTGTGGGAGAGCTGTAATTCTCATTCCCATATATGGAATAATATCTAGACTCTTTAGCAACAATTTCAATGAGGATACAGGTGAGATATGTGTTGAAATTATAAACATCACGTACCAATGTATCTTATCCTGAAGCCTTTTTTGTTATTGCCATGATCTGCTGACCATTGAAGAAATACTTCATGACCATTGCTTGTTATGTTAAAAGCAGCTGAATAATCTCCACTGAGGGAAATAAGCACTGGACTCTGAATATTTGGTCCTTTAGAAAGAAAACAATATAATTTATATGTAACTGAATAATTATATTCTCATTTATCTTCGGTATTTATGTTTCTAATAATATTAAATACTTAAATCATTCCACACACAATCTAGTACATCAACAATAAGTAAAAATATAATACAAAATATTTTGTTACACATTTTAATGCATTACTAAAATAACTACAATTTGTAACATAATTATCAAGCTAACTACAATTTTCATATAAAATGAAGTTCATTTAATTTAAAACCTCCAAAAAAAATCACACAAGTGGTTATTCACACTGAAGGACTACACACACAGGTAAAATATTTAAACTGAATTTATGAATATCCAGTAAATATAACCCATGGTTACCATCATACACCTGAAGAACATCAAACTCCTTTTCTGTCTGGAAGAATTCAATGAACATGCTGATATTGTAACCCTTTTCCACTGAAATGCTCCATGCACACATCTGCAGATTTGGGTAACTGTCAGGATACCCAGGACTCAGTATGACTCCTGTAGAATCTAGTCGTAATTCATTGGCAGGACAGAGCACTGCAGAAGAAGACATCATTACAAGTCTTTTAGAACATAAATGAAAACTGTATTTTAAAAACCAAGTTTTCTTTTCATGATCAATAACTAAAAAGATGTGAACTTGAATTATGTGTTAGAAGACAGTTGCTTTAAGCTACTATTTAAAATATTGAGGGAAGACCTAAAAGTTCAGAGTATTGATTTTTTTATTAAATGGAAAATGCATTGTTTATGGGCAATAAATAAAAACATAAATAAAAGATAAGGCATTCATTTCCTTTCAGTTTTTCTCATTTTTCCAACTCTTCTTATGTTCTTACTGTCTCTGCCTCTGATCTCTGTTAAGTCCCATGCTTTTCTCTCCTGACTTTTTACTCACTTTCTTCTTACCTCCAGCTTTTAACTCATTCAGTTCAGTAAATGGCCCTCTCTCAATGTTCATTTCACCAAAATCATTTCTGCTCCCAGCAAAGGCTGGGGTTAGCTCCAGGCCGTAAATGTTGGCTAAAACACAAATTCTTGCTTCCTGTTACTTCTTTTTACTCTCAGACAAGAATAACTAAAGAACACAATTATGTTCCAATACTCTCCATAGGACATCTATTGCAATTGTTGGCATTCAGATAATTTGTATATTATACCAAATAATAGAGTTATTTACTTACTTTTGTATTTAAAATGACAATATAACTAAGATGATCAGGCCCTTTTTACTCCAATAAAGCCATTTTATATATTAAAAAATAAACATGTGGTTCATGGTGTAGAATTGCTCACTGTGACACACATTGTATGTAAATAAATCAAAATGTATCAAACAGAATTTAAATTAGTATAATACAAATCTTCATATTAGTCAGAACAGGGGGTGTGACTGTGACAGAACATCCTGTGTATAACATTGCTAAAATTCCATAGGTTTAAGCTGGGCCACACACTGAAGGTTCATTCTGAGGACACTAAAATAGTCAAAGGATAAGTGAACCACATGATTTTTGAGGTTTTGATGGACTGATATGACCTTTCATAACTATTACACATAAATTTCTATGTTTCGGCATCAGACCTTAACATATTCTAAAATGATTAGTGTGTGATCTTAGGAAGAATCCATGTTCAAATGAATTATGCTTGGAAACTACAAATATAGTTGATGGAATTTAGGATGTAGATAGGTGAAAGAGTTATATAGCCATGATTTTCAGAGTGAAAATTTGTATTTTAGACAATTTAATATTTTTGTGTTAATGTCTCCAAGTTGTATAAGGATACAAAAAAGTAAGTAAAACAGTAAATCACAGGATGTAAAATTACTCTTTAACTATGTTAATAACTTGAAATACTTAAAGGGAAAAATTGGCCAGAATTAATTGTAGATTTTTTTAATGACTATAATAAATATAGCTATGTCTACCTGCTATTTTCTTATTCTTTTTATTCTTTCTTTTGCTCCAGTATGCATTATTTTAACAAAGATTCCACATGTAGAATATGATTTGGGGGTGGGGAGGTTACCATAGTATGAGATCATTTGTATCAAAAGAGAACCCTAAGTTTTGTATCACAAGATAAATCTACTTAAAAATAAACTAACTTGAAATGTCTAAATACAATGGAATATTTGAGTCAAATGTTTAGCAGTTTTAGTCAATAATTTACTATGAAATATTAAAATGAATGGCTGGGTTTAATTTATTTTGGGGTGGGGAGGTTACCATAGTATGAGATCATTTGTATCAAAAGAGAACCCTAAGTTTTGTTTCACAAGATAAATCTACTTAAAAATAAACTAACTTGAAATGTCTAAATACAATGGAATATTTGAGTCAAATGTTTAGCAGTTTTAGTCAATAATTTACTATGAAATATTAAAATGAATGGCTGGGTTTAATTTATTTTGCTATGCAAATACAAATTAGCCAAGGCCACTTTGTCTAACAGATAAGAAACCACAAAGAATAATGGTAAATATGTATCCACATAAAAATATGTCTTAACCACCCAGTGGAAATTATACCACTTGTCACAATTTTTAAATTATGAGAAAATATTATTCTAATTGTACGTATAACAAACAAATGACTACGAATTATTTTACTACTATTAATGTGTGTGTATATGTGCATGATATGTATGTGTGCACAATGGCACATATGTGGAGCTCAGAGGACAACTTTGAGGAGTTAGTCATGTACTTGGATTCTAAGGATTGAACTCTTATCCTGTTTAGTAAGTAGCTAATAAATTGTTATTAATCTAGTGGTTAGAATATCTTCTTCCAAATAAAAATAATCACATTGCAGCCATTATATATTGATTTTCCTCTTTTTCTACTTCCTACCTCCCTCAAAAAACACAAATAATTCATGTGCTGAACTGATTCAAGCTAATCTAGAGAAATTAAAATTTGGAAGAATGAAAGATTTTAATGTTACATCTGAGAAATAATTGAATTAAAAATAACATATGTATTGAACACCTCAGAATCATATTGTCAAATAAATGTTCATTACTGACATAGCATTATTTTCCTTTCAGATTAGTCTTTTCTGAGTTAAACACAAAACAAATATTTAAATAGTAAATAACCACAAGTTTGATGTACTGTATATGATCACAATGCTCTGGAGGCAGATGCAGGAGGAGCACACATTTGAGGCCAACCTGAGCTACAGAGCAAGATCTTCACTCTAAAAAATAAAATAAATAAGCAAATAACCATAAAAAATCATTACCTTGACAAACTGGAGGTGCCCCATCCATCTGCAGTCGCTCTCCCAATCTACATGTCAGAATTGCATTCCCAACCAGTGTAAATCCTGGAAGACACTGATACCTGATAATATCACCTGTTAACAAAGGGGAGAACAGCAAATGCTTCAGATTAGATATAAAGCAATCCCCAAAAGAATAGCTGTTTCAGTTGTAAGATCACAGTATTGTTTTCTCTTTTTTCACTTTTAATCAATGTTGAAATTCCATCAAATGTAAGAGAGATCATTCTAACGTATTGAACCCCAGGATTTACTTGACATGGAGCAATCAGGAATGAAGGCAGGAGCAAGCTACTAACTAGCCCATTTGTGCTGATGAATTCAGGCTAGACAGATACAACTGTCACAAGGAAATATCTTGATTTGTATAAAAATGATGTTTTCCAAAAAATCTTTTATATTGTTAGATTTCTAATTTATTTCTTCATATCAAGGTTAGATATACATTGGTGGCTGAATTTCTTTTTAGTTTGCAAACAAATCTAATCATGACAGATATTACATCAACATTAAGATGTCTTCTTATATCATTTTCCTAACAGTGGAATTATCTACATGGAATTTCAATTCAATTTTAAATGAATTTCAAGACATATAAAGAAAGCTTGTTCCTAAAACAGTCTACATATCACCCACTCAATGCAGTCAGTCTTAGTCCTCAACTTGAGGAACAGAAGTTAAAAAGGTAATGTCAGTGGAAAGGAAAATATTTTGTGAAAAAGTAGAAGAATATAATTATAAGCTTTAAATTCCCACACTAATCTCTAATGCACATCTGGAAAAAGCAGAATTTTCATGCTGTTCATTATTTATTCTCTTCTTTAGATTGTTCTCCCTCCTTAGCAATCTGAGAAATCTGTATCAACCCCGGGGAAGAGGGTCTACACATAGGCTGCTTCCGTTATGCATTTTTATTTCTTTCTAAGCAATATAACTGGGCTGACAGTATATTCTTTGGAAATAATTTAATAAACTTTACCTATTTCAAATTCATCATCTTCTGTCAAAATTTCAGCATTAGGTACAGGTGGTGGAGGCTGGCACACCCTTAGTTGGTAGGCTATAAAAATAAACAATGTGAGTTATTTCTTTTATAACAAGATACAGATATTCATACATATTTTTTTAATTATTTGAAAATGTGTTAGAATGAAAAGTGATAGAATTTATAAAGCTTCAATTACTTTTTTTTTTGGTCTCTTTGAGACAGCATCTCCCTGTAGCCCCAGCTGTCCTGGAACTCACTATGTAGACCAGGCAGGCCTGGAGCTCACAAAGATCTGCCTGCCTTTGCCTCCCAAGTACTGGGATTAAAGGCATGCGCCATCACACCTGGCCTCAATTACTTCATTTTTTAAAATGTGTTACAACGGTGAGAGAAAATTATTACTTTTGTAGATATTACAATATTTGGGGAGTCTTACACTTTATTTTTTATCCTCATTCTAATCAATCTTGTTACGCGGTTGGTAACACCTTGCCTTTTTCTTTCTTGTCATCATCAGAATTTGAAAATGTGCATTCCTTTCTTTACTTGGTTAATGCCTGTCTTCCCTCAAGTTTCCACCACAAAATCCTGTGCCCTTATGAAAGTGACATCCAATAATGTCTTCAGTGTTTAGTAAATCCAAGGCCATATTATAAACACATTCCATTTATTGACTCAAATGATCCTCATAATAAGTTATAGTGTATTTAATTTTTCTAAATATTTTTATAATTGTCTCTATTTTACAAGAGTGATAACTGTTGAAAATTGGTAAGGATTTACCCAAATCATACAGCTTAATATGACACAGCTTGAGTATGAACCCAGGTCATCTGCCTCAGAGCTTTATCTCATCATGTGACATTAGTATACTGATAAGATATCTGTTTGTTGAATTAAATATTTCTAACTATCTTTATAGCTTGTACAATTCCTTCTTTTGATTAAAATTGGTATTTGGCATAATTTAAAGATCATTAAGAAAAAAATCTCTGAACCGAAACATCATAAGTAGTTCAAAATGATTTATAAAACCAATAGTATCATTAAGTGTTTGCACAATTACAGTTTTTTTAAATCCAGGAATCTTTAAAAAATACATTGAACTGGGACTAGAAAGATGGCTTCGTGATTAAGAGTGCTGGTTGCTCTTGCAGATAACCTGACTTCATATCCCAGCATACACATGTCGGCTAACAACTGTCTGTAACCCTAGTTTCAAGGAATCCAATGTCCTCTTCTAACCTCCACAGGCTGCTCAACATGAGTACATTCATATACATGCAAGCAAAACACTCATACACGTACAATAAAAATAGATATGCAAACATACTAAACTGTTGTTTATTGAAGAAACAAGTTTAACAACTGTGTCAAATATATGTTTTACATGTTGAATTTTACTGCTTGAACTGAGAAGATATTTGTGTATCTCTACAAGTAGATAAAGAAAATGACATTTAAAAAGTAACAGTTATTTATACAAGATTACGGATTAAGTATAAGGAATAGTTAGAATGAAGTCTACTCTTACTTCAAAGACCATATCTTCAATATTGTACCTATTACAAAATATTTTGGGATAACAAAGGAACATTAACTAGATCAGTTATGAAAGACTCCCATAAAAGCAAATGACTGGAATAAGCATTAAGTATTAGTAGAATTTGTCCAGTTCCAAAGGGTTATGACAGGCACAGAGCATTTTGAGGAAAATTGATTTGAGCAACAAATCATCACTAGTTCATGACCACCTTAACAGAAACCATGTATAAGAAACCATATATACAAGTATAATTGGCTAGTCCACTTCCAGATTGATAGGGACAGGGGGAAGTTTGCTTTTCAAAATACATACAAAAGGGACAAAATCAAAGAAAATGGATTTCCTTCTGCATACTGCTTTCTGCACTTCCAAAGTCCTCTTTCCAATACTTTAAGCTGTTTATAAGATAACTTGTTGGTTAGGAATGTTCGTTCACAAGTAAAATACTAAATACACAGAGAAGACTTGCTACTGGGGAAGAAAAATGATTTGTTGGCAAAGAAAGCCATGGTGAAAAGCCATAACCTAAATTTTCAATAAAATGTTTAGTAAGAGTATGTATATGGGAGGAGTTGGATGGGAGACAATAAGTGTGGATTTGATCAAAACACCTTATATGCATGTATAAAATTCTCCATAAATTTTCTTTAAAGTTAAAAAAATAAAGCATGAGGTTTTGAAGAGAAAAATTGTTTTAAATTATGCACAGACACAAAATAAGAATATGTAGAAGGTGCTGGAGAGATGGCTCACTGGTTGCTCTTACAGCAGACCTAGTTTCAATTCCTAGAACCAACGTGGCAGCTAACAACTGTCCATAACTCCAGTTCTAGGGGATGAGACATCTTCTGGTCTCCAGACAGGCTTTGTATGTATGTGGTGTACTTACATTCATGCAGGCAAGACACTCATTCACATTAAAGAAAAAAATTAAAAAATACAAATGCTAAAAAGCAACTAGGAATCTCCAAAAATAGTTTCCTGAACTTAGAATTTAAAAGGGTATGGTTAGAAATACAGCAGGTAGCTGTAAGGAAGTGGTAAAGAGGTTTAAGAAAGATGGAGGAAGAGAGAATATGACACAGAGAAATCCTTATGAGCCTATACTTTGGAGAACATTGTATCTGAACCTAATGAAGAAGAGAGATCAACTCAGAAATGGAGAAGTGTGGACATGTTCACATGGTCATGATTTTACTTCTCTTTGCCCATGAATTTACCTTTAATCTACATGGTAACCATGAATTGTTTCATTACTTTAAGGAAGTAGCACATTTGCATTCATGCATAATCCATGGCTCTTGTCATTTGTGGAACATGCTGAGCATGACCTTCGTTACTCAGTTGTAGGCTGCAAATACCAGAGGCTGTAAACTATTATTGAGGCCCATATGGTTTTTTCAATCCCATAGAGCGGCTGTGACCTAACATTGGCTTTATTCTTTGATGTTTCTCACCACCATCAAGTTTCTAAGCTATGTCCCTGGAAGCTAAGGAGACCATGGAAGGCCTCAGATGCAATGTCCTTACCACTCCACTTCAGTAAATACAGCACTACCTGGATCTGTTTTATAAGTGAAAGTTCTGAATAAGATTGTCTTTCAATAAACTTTTCTACATCTACCTAAGTAATTTCACTAATTCCTTTGATTTCATTTCTAACTTTGTGTCTCAATTCCCCATTCTATGATACCAAACAAATAATCTGCCAATGATCCTCAATGCTTTCCTCTACCAACGTGTGGTTTTCTAATCACAAAGTGATATTATGTGATTCATATAACCAGAGATATTTCAAATTTTCTTATCATCCATTTATTTGCCTATTTGTTCAATGCCTGTGTCCCCAGACAGATTTTGTTATGTGAAAGAAGATGCCTGCCATTTATACAGCTTAGTAATTTCCTCCTGTCATTGTGCCTATAATTCCACATATACTTGCTAAATGGACGACAGAATGTAGATTTTTCTGAAGATGCAGAGTCTCTAATAAATAGTCTTCTGTAAAGTGACTTTTAGATTGAAAATTGCAAATGAGGAGCAATGGAGGCAACTGTGGGTCAGAAAATATCTGAGGTGAAATCTAGGTAGGACCTGTCTGAGAGTCTAATCAGAGTTGGATTAATAAAAAGTAAATGTTGGAAATAATAGAAGTGATTGGTTTCATCAGTTTCTCATTTGATTTTGAAACAAAATACTAAAATAGAGCACATAATTGGAAGCTTACAAAGTCCTGTTTCTATTCAATTCTAGTTATTCTTCAGCATAATTCTACAGTTTGACCATTGTTGCTGCCAACATCTCAATCTAGACATCTGACATTTTTTACTTGTTGTACTGGATTGAATGGTGTCCCCTAAATTCATGTCGTTCTTAGAATCTCAGATTGTTGTGGAAAATAAGGTATTTGCAGACATAACTAGATATGTTACATTCATACTGAATTGAGGTAAGTCTTTAATTCAGTGGCGGATGTCCGTATAAAAAAAAATGAGTAAAAAAAGACACAGAGGCAGACACACAGGAAGACGGCTCTGTGGTGCTAGTGAAGGGGTTGCAGGGATTCATTTAGAAGATAAGAATATCAAGGATTACAGACTGCCCCTAGAAGGTAGGAAACAAGAAGTTGTCTCACGTAGAGACTTCAGAGAGGGCACAGAAATGCCAAAACACGACAACATGCTTCAAAGCCCCTCCCTAATATAGGGAGCTCATTGTCTATCTCAATAAACTTTAACTGCCTGCCCTTTAAAAAGAGAGAACAAAGAAAAAGGAACAAGAAATGTCAAAACACTGATTTCAGACACCCAGTGTTCATAACTGTAAAAGAATACATTTATATTAAGGTGAGGTGCCACACACCTGTACAGTTACGACACCAACCCTGGGAGCCTGTAGAAGGAGAATCACAAGTTCTTGGCCAGCCATGGAGCAAGATCCTGTCAAACAATAAGTAGGAGAAGAAGAAGAAATTTCTGTTGGCTTAATTCACCCAGTTCATAGTAGTTTTGTTTCAGTAATCCTAGAAAGCTAATATACTTGTGTTATTAAACTGGTCTGCAGTGTGTTGTTTACATTTTACACCTCCCTTGCTTGCAAGTGTACTACTGAAAATGAATCAAACATGATTCATATGGAATTTACTGTGTACAAAGAACTCTATAATAAGTGAGTTATGTGCTTATTTTTAATCATCAAAATGCTGTATCAAATTATATGTAAATACACCATGAGGCAGAAAGAATGCTTAATTTCAAAATGATTTAATCTGCCCACTTTGCGGATGGGAGATGGCTCAGTGAATAATGCACTTGCCAGTCAAGCTTTAGGACTAGTGCTGAGGTCCCCAGACCCACATAAATGATAGACAAGGGCTCCTCAGAGCAAGCTGACCAGCTAGGAAGCTGGAATTAGGGACCTACAGGTTCAGCAAGAGACCCGATTAAAAACATAAAGTGGAAAGATAAAAGGAAGATACCTGATATCAACTTCTGCCCTCAATGTGTTACAGGCACACATGGACACA